GTTGGGGATTTTTGCCCTTCCTTTGGGTTAATAAGGGGGTTCGGGGGGGGGGGTTTTTCGCCTTTTTCGTTAGTTGTTTTGGTTATTTCCGTTTTCTGTTGGGTACCGGTTTTTTGGGTTTTGGGGGGGGGGTTTCGGGGGGGGTGGCCGCCAACCCTTTTTTAAAGGAAAGATTTGGGTTCCTTGTTCCCTTGGGGGGGAGAAATTTTTTGGGGGGGGGGTTTTCGGTGGGGACAGGGGATAAAAAAGGGGGGGGGGGTTTTGGGTGGAAAATTTTGGGCCCGGTTTTTCAAAAAGAAGGGGGGGGGGGGGGTTTGGAATTTTGTTTAGTTTTGGGGGTAAACAAGGGGAAAGGGGGAAAGAGGGGGGGGTTTGGGTTTGGGGGGGGAAAGTTTTCCCTTTTGAAAAGGGGGGGGTGGGTAATGGGTAAAAGGTTGGGGGGGGGTTAAAAAATTGGGGCAACCCCCCCCCCTTTTTCCAAGGTTGTTAAAAGTTTGCCCTTCGGGGGGGCTTTTGTTTTTTCCGGGTGGAGGGGTTTTTTGGGGCCGGGGGCCTGGGGCCCCCCCCCCCCCCCCCCGGTGGCTTCTCTCATGTCTTCCCGCAGCTCAAGGGTCTCCCGTGGCTAATGCACGATTTCTTCTACTCCACGCTTGCCGCCGGCGTTCTTTTCATCGCGTCGCTCGAGCTCATGCTCTCCGGCTTCTGCTACGTGTTCTTCTTCGTCAGCCTCGAAGAATCCGACAAGAATGACAATAGCAGCGACACGGGGGTCGCCTCCCACCGAGTTAGCACTGTTCCGGCCTCGCGGGGAAACAGGAACCGGACATCCTCTGCCAGCCACAGTGTAGCCAGGATTCCGAATAACACCGGCCGGCTCTCCTCGAGTCTATCTGCAGCGGTTACTGCCAGCGGCGGTGGCACCGGAAGAGGCTACCCGACGACGGAAACGAGCGGAGGTCGTGAATCGCCGCCAGCGAGAGAAGCAGCCGCAACAATGCCACGTGACCAAGGTGTCTTCCACGATGATGAGGGTCTCACACGAAGGGCAGGAGTTGGAGGGAGACGACCAGGAACAGTTGCGGGAGGAGGGTCGACAGTAGAGCCAGCAACGACGGCCGTCAGTGGCAGTCGTAGGTCAGGGAGTGGCTCAGTATCGTCCGTTAGCACCGAGAACCGGGACACGGTTTGGATGGGGAGACCGACATCGTCACTGCCGTCATGGTTACAAGAAGCAGCAACAGCAGCAGCCGCAGCAAGCACGAATGGAAAGCAGCAAGAAGCCCCGACGTTGCCGCCCGGAGTGCAGGCGTACCAGAGGGGCACTCGGTACATTGTACAAGGGAGTCGACCGGCTGCTGTTGCCGGCAGCGGCGGATCTGGTGGGGCTGCAGGAGGTAGCGACCCAGGCGCCGAGCTAGAGGCGGCTGCGTTGGCGTCGTGGGCGGCTCTGGAAGGCAATACGATCGAGCCGCGAAGGGAGACGGCGGCGTGTGAGGGTAGGGGACACGGGGGAGTTGCCGCTGTTGTAGACACGACAGAGACGATGGCGCAAGGCGTTCGCGTCGTTGAATGCGAAAGCGTTTCTGCAGAACGGGCAGCGGTGGATGGTGACGATGATGCTGGAAGCGGCTGTAGCAGGCCGACGTCGGGGCTTGGAGGAGCAGACGTAACACTCGTGGATACGGAGCGGGCTGCGGTATCTGCGGCGCCAGGGGGTTGGCGAGTGCTTGATTTGTCCGAGAGCTCTGTCGATGCGGGCAATGATAACAAACGGTAGCGCGAGCTCCGTTTTGCGTTTTCTCCGGCGGAATACAAGTCTCTATCGGTGTGATTGCGTATATATATATGCAAGCTGTTGCAACCTGGGTGTGCGCCAGACCGACGATAGAAGAAAAAGATCGTTGGGTGTTTTCGTTCCATCCACCCACTCGCTGCATCGAGCCGTTATTTCCCGGCGTGTGTCGTTCTTGAACGATGACATCTATACGCACACTACTAATGCATTTGCTCTTGGCAACGAAGATCCTGCTCGCTTCTTGGGAATGCCGACACCCAGGCTGTGACCCGTTCAGTTTGTAAGGCAGAGGCATAGAGCGATACCTTACACTACGGTATTTTGTGGACTTTCATCTTCGTATTGATATGGATTGGCTTGGCAGGTTCTTGAAGTATTATACCGAGACCAGAGAAATACCGACCGGGGATGCTGAATGTTTCCATCGATTCATCGAATCGGAGTCTCGAGGAATATACCAACATCACCGCCGATAACAATGGGCGGACTGGTGGGCTTAGTGGTGCTTGGTGCTGTGTGATGTGGCATCATACGTTGCCCCGGGTGATACTCCAGGCAAGAAGCAAGGACGATGATTCGGGTTTCTTTTGTTCAGGTAGTTTGGGGAGCTGATTTTTGGATTTGGGGAGTCTTCGCTCACAGTGAAGGCACGCACGGAGAGCAAACGACACAGCTTTTCCCCAGCGCAGGCCACTTTTCACCCACCCTTCCAGCGTTATTCCAGCACGTTGTTGATAGTGATGGGGTGCATATGCTGGCACGCTGGATGACCTCTGCGAAAGCTGACATGTCCACAGCAGAACTGCAGCCTAGAGGTGATATTAATACACGAACATGAACATACTGTACTACTGCTGTCGATAGAAGAGAATATCCACACGTACCAAACATACGTACGCGTGCCAGCAAAGGACAGAGAGAACATAAACATTTCATCAGTTGCCAAAGATTTAACCAAGGGGGTGTACCTCTTTCTCTCCGACCCATGATAGATAGTGACTGCTAGTCAAGTCTCAGTTGATACCTCGCATAGCGCGAAGAGGGAGTGCAGGATTCCAGAATATCTGTCGTTGATTTCTATTGACTTGCGGACCCCTCGGGGTCAGTTTATTTGAGTGTACCTTTTTAGGGTAAGTTAACCTGTGACCACGGGAATCGACCGCGTCGAGTGTTGGATCAGTACGGACATACGAAGGTACTGGGTAGAGAGAGATCGGAACGGTTTTTAATGTGAAGACAACAACAACAACAACAAAGGCCGAAAAATCGTAAAATCCCAACGGCTCCGCAGCGCTCGTGCTTCGAAGTATTTACTGCGATCAGCACAGACACCCCCCCTACTACTGTACCATGCTCACGGCATAGTGGAGGAGTGGAGGACATCTTTGCATCTGTGTGTTTGGTAGCTGGTACAACAGTAGATCCGTGTCCGACGTGTCCGGGACTGGACTGAAAAGCTGAAAGGAGACTGGAGACTGGAGACTGGAGAGAACCAAAACCATCTGCGGACCACAACGCCTCCGCGCTGCCCCGCCGCTCCGCTGGTTCTCTTTCCTTATACACACACCAGAGCCTAACCGGAGCACCAGAGCACCAGAGCTGCGCGCCAATACACACGCCTGGCGGACGAAGCAAGCGGCCGTAGTGGAGATCCCCTTTCCGCGTGAAGGCGTAGGAGGCCAGGCCAGAGGTAGGTGCGTATCCTGCATGTGTGGATGTGAACAACAAGCTTGTCCTGTGTGTCTGGAAAGTCACAGGTGTAGTGGCGTCGTACGCATACATATACGCTTGGGGGGACACAGCAGTACGTGACCTGTTCCATGTATCGTGAAATTTTTTGCCATGGATGGCAAGAACCACAGCGGTATGTCATTATTGTGTCTCGTCTGCGCTTACGCGGGACGTCGTAGATAATGGGGCCACTCTCGGTGGAAGGCGGTTGCATCATCTACGGCCGTCTGCAAGTGACTACTGCTGTACACTCTCGTTCAATATGTGTCTGCTGTGTAGTACACAGGCAACACACAACTGACCCCGCCCACAGGTGCGTGTTTAGGGTTTGTCTACCGCAATCCTGGCTTACAACGTGACTGCGTGTCACACAGTGCTTGTAGGTGCACTCCCTGACGGCCGCACAGCTGCTGGAAGTACAACGTACACCAAACGCAACGACGCACCAGGGTCGAAACTACATGCAGAGTTGTGGCGAGATTAGCAGGCGGAGGCCTCTCTTACGCAGACTTCAATGTACATGTGCCAGCGGTGTGTGCGTCTCAAAGACGTCCGCGATCACGGTGTGTGTTATTAGTTATTAGGCCTTCTTAGGCAGGCAACCGCAGGGAATTCGACTACTGAACAGAAGGGTATATGTCACCCCTCAACCTGGTTTGTCGAGACCTGGTGCTCTCCACCTCATACATTTGTATATTTTTCATGGCCCTTATTCGACTGGAAATCAACCCGAACTACTGTTGAATGCCCAGCCTTACTCACAGAATCAAACACACTCAGGTCAAGTCCTTCACACCACACCATAACGTGCTGCGTTTTAAACTGCTGTACCTCAACTCTTACTGCTGTTACTAACACTAGGATTGACTTATGGCACGAGAGGACGGTTAACTTTCAACGCAGAGTGCGCGAGGCATCATTTCATGGGACATACCGAACGGGTCCCCGAAACTCTCGGCCAATTGGCCCTTCATGATAATTCGCGTGCTGATGGGAGAGATACCCCCTTGTAGCTGCCGGTACGGAACACTGAAGACGTTGGTTGTCGCTGGAAAGGTCGAAGCGTGAAAAATTGGCTGGGTGCTCAGGCATAATTTGGCAGGCCGGGGGAGCATCAGACAGCGCTTGGGAGCGGCATTGGATGTCAGGGTACCGAGAGGACACTGGGACTTGAAATAACACTTAGGGCACCTAGACTGCACTCACTACGTACAACTGTTGTGTTCCGCCTCGCGATCAATTCCGTAGATTTTGCGGGACACTGATTTGCACCTGCCAGTCTCGTCTCGTGCACAGCATATTCGCACCCCAGTCTACATTCTTTGAATCGGCTAGTTGCCATTATTGAGGAAGCTGGGGAGGCGACCACACGAACGCGTGCCAACAACCGTCCAACCGACGCCCGCTGTTGTAGGGTAGGCACGGCCAGCGATTGGATCGGGTTTTTCCCGGAAACCCAGAAACGTGAAGAACAAGAATTCGCGGGCGCGCGCAGGTGACGAAGATGACGAGAGGCGCGTCGTCTGCATCCGACGACACCGGTGGTAAACCGAACTTAAGGCCAACGAACGCCTATCTACTCTTCGCTCAGGCAACACGGGCGGACATGAACGCTAAATTCGGTGGCGCTGAAAAATCCGTCGAGCATTTCACAAGGAAGCACCAAAGTCGGGTGAGTTTCGTCTCTTGCGGAGCACAGGAGTTCACTGTTGCATTCTTTCCAGGTGTATGCATTTAGTGGGATAGGGTTGGAGAGATAACAACGCAGCGCTTAGAAGATGATTTCCTCATCGCCAGCACGAGATGCTCTGTCCCGTGAGCTGTTCGGGCGTCCGCGTGGAGATCAGCTCCATGTCGCCAGACCTAATACTGAAGGTTATGATGCCTCCCGCGCCTCCCTTGACCGCTTCGAACGAACTCTCAATATCGAGGTTCATGTTGACGCATGGCCCGCTGAGTTTTCGCCCTTGTTGTGGCCAATCAGATAGTACATTGTAGGGGGCGCCATTGTGACCTGCGATGGATTGTGTTGCTCCATCAAAACAGCCGACCCACAAACGTATGGAAATATTGAGTCCTGATTGGCAACAACGCGGTCTTTTCCGGTACACTAACGCAGGAGGGATCGCGAGCGTGGGGTTAGTTTTTTTTTTAAGTTTACAACGGTGTTGCTCCATGCCATGTGTTGAGCCTTGAGCACTCACTCTTGGTTGGCACCTATATGTTGGTATGTTGGCGCTACTCACGAAAACATCAGCCTGAACACGACTCAGTCCAACTCCAGTGAACACAATGAAGAATACCTGAACCGATCCAAGGCTGGTAGTTGTGGACAACACTCAAGATTATCGCTTAATGATATGGTGTTCTGAAGCATTCCCGGCACGTGTCGTTACAACTGTGAAAGCCTGTTTGTCTCACACTGTTCCTGCCCTCAACCGTCGGCTCAACCCACCGCGAAAATTGTGTGTCTGCAGAATCCTGACGTTGTCAGGCGGAGCCCCGTCATCCTAAGCGTCATTGGCAAGATGTGGTCGGACGCACATCAAACCGTGAAGGATTTTTTTTCGCATGCTGCCAAGGTGCAAAATGCCTGGCTTGAGAGCGAGAAGCTCGCCGATCAGCAGCGGGGAAAAAACAAGGCGAGTTGAACACGTTTCACTCTGGCGGAGCACTGCTCATAACGGTGCAGAGATTGGCCGGCTTTGCATGCGGCTAGTTGGCTTCTGTGAGAGACGAGCATCCACCTGCGTTGCCGTCTACGAAGGGTTTTGGCTAGGGCACGGGGAAACGCAACGAGCGTCAGTGCTTGAATGCTTGGTCCGATCATATCAAAGCTTGGTTTCAAGCCTTTCATTTTGCACGTTTGCGAAGCTTTGGTAGCTTCGGTGAGTCGTCGGATTGTATAGGGCGTTGAAGGCCAATTCCAGAGGGCATCACCAGCCCTGGAATGTCCGATACCCCGATCGACCCCTACTCCACGAAGCACAAGGGTCTATAGATCGCTATACGTCGTGTTCGAAATCACCACCACCTGCTTGGTGAAGACAACGAGAGGCTTGCAAAGTTGTGCGGCGTGGGTTGTAGGGTTTGTGGATTACAGTAGCTGTCGGCATTCGGAAGGGTTACAACCCTGCTGTGACAGTATGCTGCAACAATGCACGCGTGGATGTACTTCATGAATTCTAATCGCGACGGCGAGGGTCGATTGGACCGCCTTCAAGACCACACTCACCACAGCAGTCTCTCTTTGTCTACGGGACTGGTTGGTTCCGTGCGCTGATTTGTTTTCAAGCAGGCGAAAGGTAACAAGGATATCCCGGCGGGCGAAGGCGGTAGCAGCGTTAGCGATGGCAAGGAAAAGCGAACCGAACGGACAACGGCACCTATGAAAGCAGCAGCAGCAGCAGCAGCAGCAACAGTAGACGCAGAGGCGCAGAGCAAGACGACCAAAGATGCGCCAAAGGGGAAGCAGGTTGCGCGAAAAGCCACACCAGACCAACCCAGGCACGAAGAACCCGAGGACCTGGCCAACAGCAGCAGCGGCAGCAGCAGCAGCGCGTCGGAGACCATTGGGGCAAGCGTGAGGAAGAAGATCGCCCCCCCAAAGCGTAAAGCGTCCCCGCCGGAGGGCGAACCTTCTGCTGCTCGCAAATCGTCTGCCCCGAACACTACGGTAGCTGCGGCAGAGGCCAAGACCGCAGATACACGTACCCCTGTCACAGGAGCAGGTTCTTCGGCGTCGGAAGCTGTGGGCAGCAGCGCCGAAGGCGCCGGCCATGCCACTAAAACCGTTGGTCGAGACGGCGGGGGGAGGGTAACCTCACAGGATAACAGCACAAACAGTGGCAAGGATGCTGCTGCTGCTCCTTCTGGCGTTGTCAGCGGCGGAGGAACGAGAGGGGCAGGAACCAGCAGTGCCGCTCCCGATACATCGAAGGTGAAAGGACCCACTCTCAAGAGGAAGAGGAGGAGCGAACCCTCAGACAAAACAGGGACAGCCAAGACATCGAAAGAGAGCGATGTCGGCGGCGGCAGCGCGAGTGCCAAGGGTATCCGCGGGGATCGTGGCAGCAAGAGCAAGGTCGCCAAGTTTCCAGGGTACCTGGACAGCGATGACGTGTCCGAGAAGGTCCTCTTCGGCCTGCCGCGCGGGGAAAAATGTCCCATCGACGTCCTGTGGGAGGTGGAAGTGCAAAAAAGCGGGCGGAAGACTGAGCAGGTACCTGCCACTTCGTATCGAGTACGACTGAGGTGTTTTTGCATTTTTGCTGTTGAAATGCTCAGAAGTAGTGCTCCAACAGTCAATCCCTCCATCAAGTCCGGTTGAGTGTTTCAATTGCAGCGATTTGCTTTTAGTGGAAAATCGCGTGTGTTATTTTGTCATTTGGCATCTAGAAATGCCAACGAACGGCACCTTTGCATGCTGGAGCCACGGCAAGTACTGGCATGATTGTTCGTGATACGTTTGCATTCCTTCTCGCATATGGATCACCTACTAAGGTGGGGGTGCTGGGCTTACCGCAAGTACCGGGGCTGCGGCGATTGTATCGTGCGGCACGACACGTGGTTGGGCCCTCTAGTAGGGAAAGAGAACATATGTCACTTGATTGTTCGTGATGAATGTTTCGGCGGCTCCGATCGGAATCTGTTCATATTGCGTAAAGATCGTCCACATTCGGCGAGTAGAAGAAGTGTACAGGAAGTTGGGTCACTGCAGGTGTGGGCCAGGCCCGCAGCCGGACACCGCCACCTATCCTTGAGCCCTACCTCGACTTGAAACCCTTATTCCCACCCGCCCTTGCCCTTTCTGCAGACAGAGTCGTGGTTCACCTCTGTTGTGGATCTGACGAAGTCTCTTGGGACGGATGAGGCAGGTCGCCCGAAGTTTCGCATCAACTACGCCCGGCGAGGCAGTCTCTCCGCTTCTAAGGTAACTTGGTGATTTTCCTGCCCCGGATCGGCTTTCATGTGCGTTGTTGCACCCTGTGGACTCTTTTTATATATGCCGATGCTGTGTCGCTCGTTGGCTGATGGGTTGTTCGTTTTCGCGTTGCTTCCTCGGTGCTGGAGTACTGCGATACGGCAGTATAGCAGTTGACGAACCGTTCGCGCCCTTTGGCGTCTCGGTGATTGATCACTTGGCAGAACGTGCGTAGGTCCTACCTGTGCGTGACAGATGCTTTTCGACGACTCGAAATATCGACTTCTGCACGATAGTATGAGAGGGCGCAAACACCTAACGATTAGCCTCAGGAAACCAGCCTGTTGCATTGTTTTTTTCCAGCCAGTAGATGTTTTCAGAATTCACGCTGACCTTGGTGTGTTCCAGGCACGACGTCGTATGCAGTACGCGCTCCTGCCGGCCTTTGTGCAGACCTAACACTCGGTTGTTCGTGTCGGCATTGCGTCAATCGTCTTGCGGCACGCTATGATTGGTGTCGTCGGGCTGTCACCGTGGTTGAATGATTGGCGCCCGCTGCATCGTTTTTGTCACGGTTGCAACGAGAAATGTCTACCAGGATTTGTTTTACGCTACCTTATTCTATGTAGCAACTCTGTCCCAGACCCCCTGCGACAGCAGCACTGCGACGTGTCATGGGGCGATCGAGTGATTTGTTTTTGTTTACTCGCGTGTGTTAGTGTTCGTGTTCGTGATTTGTCGTATGTCCTTATGCATCAGATCCACCGGTAACGGATTACTCTTTGGGTGCAATACTCGAGCTCTTCGTTGGTACGGTACTCCTATGCGGCCTTAGACTCCCTCCCCTTGCCCGCCTAACCCTCACGGGCGCATTTTTGGTGATGCCCACCATTTGTCGAATCGACTAGATACGACTCAGCGACATCATGTCGCGCAGACGTTGAAATGAAAGGAACGAAGAGTTCAACAGCCCTTCACGTGCTGATTCAGTGTGATGCTCCGCCCGAAGCTCATTTTCGCGTATTAGATAGATACAAGCGGCTTTCCTCTAGTCGGGATATCCTGATTGCTTCTGATACCACACCTCCTATGATGTTGCTATTGTTTTGCCCGGCTGGACCCGTCTCAGAGCATTGTGGTCTTTCTGACCGACAGTGAGCTCCGAGACAACCTCCAGGACGAGTCTGAAGAACCACTGCTATGGAGAAAGAAGGGGTGTCAGGTTGCATCCAAGGTAGGCGTAAGAACATCTCGACTTCCTACGGTTTGGCGATGGAATTCATTGTTGTTCGGCCATTGCGGGCGTGCCTGTTCTTTGTTAGTGGTACAGCTTGGGGGAAACATGGATATCGATATTTCTTTTCAGCTAGTGCGATGGTCGTTGTTGCCGTTGGTATTGAACTCGTAGCAACAAGTATAGTCACTGGTCCGTCCGTCTTCCGTACCGATGTCGTGGTTGCAAATAGAATAGGTGTTGAGAAATTGTTGCTACACCACACCTAGAGACGCCTTCGCGCTTGAGAGAATGGAGGAACGTCCTCCAATAAATATGTTGAGCATAGCTGAAATGGAGAATGGGCTTCAGCTTCAGTCACTTGCAGAAGCTTCGCGGCGACCGTGGCAGAGGATTCCTGCAAGAAAATGAGGACGCAGTGAAGCTACCGTCGCACTCTTCGACGCGAGGAGTTTGTGCGTGGTGCTGTATCACACCAACCGTGCTTATTCAGGAAGCCAGGTAGATCATGCTCCGTGTTGTCTGAATCTATCTCGACGCGTGTGCCACGTTCCGTGTTCCGCTGCAGTCAAGTCTTTTCTGCAGCGATTTTGGCGCTGACAGCCTTTGAAGGAAAGTGCGTATCACACCGTTTATTCCCACCCTTCCATCGGTGCTTTTTCCTTGCATTTCACCCACAACCCGGTTCCGCATCACGATTCTCTCAGGGTGCCTCTAACACGTTCTTTGCAATCTCTCCGCCTTGCTTGCTACGCGACTGCAGCCGGCCGCCACATCTTCTCCTCGACCGAGCAGCGCCGGAAGCGAGGGTGTAGACCAGGAGGAAGAGTGGGCGGACGGATTCGGAATGAAATCATTTCGGGGACGGTAAGGGTCTTTCTCTTTGCACCCTTGCCCTCGGCCTCTCGGTGTCGGAGATGTTAAGGCGACCGCGGTGAGTTGCGATATGGGGCAGAGTGGGTGGGTTTGGGAATGCAACGCACAAGCGATCCACGGGGGGATGAACAAAAAACTCCTGATAATTTGAACTCCATTCGTACCCCTTGCGTGACCCCGAGGTCTTTATTTCGTACAAGCAGTGTCAAAGATGTTTGATCGCATTTTAGGGCTTAGGACCATTCCGAGAGGCAGACAAGCAGTAAGGGAGAGCAGACTCTCTAGTTCCGATCTCGAAAAGACTGCTTGATCGAATGCCACTCGGCGGTCAGTGACCTATGGTCGCCACCGGAAATAGTGCGAGCATTGTTTGGGGTCTAGGCGGTGTGATTTTCCGGTGACGTGGTTGTGTTCGTTTTGCAAAGAGAGCGAATTGGTGGCCCTAAGATTCTTGTTCACCACACGGGGCCGTGTCTCACTGTCCCCTGTCTGTATCCCTCTGAGGGAGCCAAAATATTTGTGCGGTCTCGGGTCGCAAAGAAGTTATCTTTGCCATCTGATGGTGTTGGTGCTCGATAGAGAATTGCTGTCTAGTATGTGCGCATCGAGCTACAACCATTATATTGTCGGCAGGAAACACGCGGATGGCCTCAGTACTGTCGTACGGCCATTAGGGTTTGCCTCTGGGGTGACAATGTTGGATTTCCGTCATGAGTGTAGTGTTGGTCTGTCTTAGCGTGGTTTTCCATAAGGTGCTGTGAAAGGAAGCCAGAGCACAATACAGTAGAACCCTCAATATTTTTGCTGCTCAGGAGAGAACCTGATCGGAGAATGGCTCCCTTTTTTGCCTCTCGGGTTGGTTTTCGAGGAAACGCTTACCCAACGCGCGGCGAAGCCTCACGAGGCCCTTTCGGCCTCGGTTACCCCTCGAGGCAGGGGTGGTTAAGTCTCGAGGTAGTGTCGGTACAGGGTTCGGCCTTTGCGTTGTTCATGCTCGGGGTTGGGTTCCCCGATGGAGTAGTCCAAGCGAAACGGCTTGTCTGTCCAGCTTTTTTTCTTGCAAGATAAGGCGTGCGGAACCATCCTCTGTTTGGAAGTCCCTTCAATTTCGAAGCTACTGAGACCCTCCCACTACTCCGAAGCTGTCATGCATGGGAAAATATGGACCGAATTACGGGGCTTTGGAGGTTGTGATGGTGAATGCAAAACCTGTGAGGAACTTACACATTGAGGTGGCGCAAAACGCCTAATACTCTGAGGGAGTATTTTTCTCGAGGGAAATATTTTTCTCTATCTGTGGCCGCAGTCTACAAACCATTGGATCATCTCCTTGCATGCCTGCCAGCGGGACGGAGTCCGCGAGGGTTTCACCCATCAGGCACGATGCAGGTGGCAAACTGCCGTCAGAAGTACAGCATGAGTTGATGCTGCGGTCATACAAGATAAAGGTGCGTTATTGGATTTTTGATGGGGATTGCGCGTTGCGGCGGACTAGCGCACACGTGATTCTCTGCCACGCCACCAAGAGTTGGAGACTTGTGTCATCTGGTGTTGTCGTGTTGAAGCGACCGCGCGCATGCCCGACGCACGGCACCAGTGACAGGGCAAGACTTCCATGGGGCTGGTAGAGCCACCGAAGGACCATTTTCGATGAGAGACGATACGAAACGGTGGTAGTACTTTCGTGCGCTTCAGGGCTCTCGACAGTCACTGTACATTCCTGCGAATCCGCGTGAGGGGTGAACACCGCGCCGGTGATCGGCCGAAAGTACGAGCCACTTGTTGGCTGTGTCAGGTATCGTTTGAGCCGCCCCTCTGGCGTGCTGGAAGAAGTCCTGCAGACATCCAACGTGCCCAGTAGAACGTCTTTGAAATATATGTCTTGGGATAGGGGTGACGGGCAGAAACATCTATGTATGTTGGGGCCGGAAAGCGTTGACCCAACAACCTGGGCCGGGCCGCCGCGGTGGGCGATCTATTTTTCGCAGTATATACTTACGTTTGTCTTGCCTTCGAAATCTGATTGGTGGAAGAAGACAATTGGCCGGTGAACCTCGCAGCGGCATCTCACTTCAATGCATGAAAGTGCCGGTGCAAAATCCACGAGCGAATAGATTCAATAATTGACTCTCTGTGTTGAGGTTTAGCTTGAAGGGCGTCCGGTATGCACCAAACGGAACAGCGGCAAGAAAAAAAGGGCACGAATGGCCACATCGGCGCGTGAATAGTTTTCGAATCTGCCCTGCTCGCTCTCGGTCTACAAAAGCGCCACGATCTTGCACCTTCCTCGATGCTCTCTGTCTGTCTGTCTGTCTCGCTCTCTCTCTCTCCCTTGCCTCCGCCGTGAAAGAATATACAAGCCAATTTGTTTGAGATTGAGCAGTGGTTCTCCGACCGGAAGGGATGATGAAGAATATACTGCTGTGTACACATACCATATGTAGATTTCGTAGTTTTCTCATGTTCTACTTTTGGGCATAGGCATATCCAGGCGTGTGTCAGTGCTACAGGGGTCGCGGCTCGGGTTCATAGTTCTTTTGGCCCCCCCACACAACTGCTCTTCTTCATTCGCTCTGTCTTTGGGTTAGGGGAAAACGTCAGCACTGTTACGGCAATACCTCACTCATATCTGCTGCTTTCACTCGCAGTGCTCCCCTATTCGCCTCTCTACGCCACCAAATTCAGAATGAAATCCGTGTGACCACGAGGATAATGAGTGGCACGGATGACGCAGACAGCCACGACCACAAGGGTACGGCAATTGGAATGTCGAGGGCAACCGGTGGACACGACGTTGAGTGCCGCGCACCTTCCCACCCAAAACAACCGCTGCCCATCAACCGGGAGAAAATGGCCCCCGACACTAGTCTCGTGCGGGGTCTACGATACCGATCGCGACGTGGACGGACCAAAGAAATTGACGATGGGTGTAGTGATGGTGCCGCAGACCGGTAGACTGGGTGGTGGGCCCATGTCTTCGCGGTAGAGTCCTTCCTCGAGGGCTCCTCTCCTTGGAAGAGGCGGGAATACGTCACATGGACCACGCAAGATGCATCGGCAATAGCGTTCGTTCGCAGACAGAGGTAAGCTCAACTCTGCAAGAACGGGGTCCTGTCAGGATTTCAAAATCGACGCCACTGGGCCCTAGCTGGCGAGCGGCCCCTCCTTCGAGGGACGTGGTCAGCGAGCAGGACGGCTTCCAGTCGCACCGACGACCTGAAGCTACAGTACTCCCCAACCACCCGAGTGACCCGGAACCGGCTCGGGAACGTCCTTGTGTCATGTTCACCGTGCTTTCTGCGGCGTTGTTTGGCCCTTTGCCGGGGTTGGAAATGTGCCGATGGCTTAGTTTCTTTCTCACTCGCAGACCCACAATGACGGGTGGCGTTGACGGGGCAGTAGAACCTCTTGAACCGGTGTTCGAGTTGACCTCCGAGTGCTTCATGTTCTCCGGTGCAGTGGAATGGGATCGGGTCAGCGCCGACTCTTCACTCCCAGCCTGTTGCCGAGCCCCTGCTTGCCTTAATTTAAGTTGCGAGGAGGGTCAAGGCATCTCTTTTCCTTGTCGAACGTGAAGCCGAAGGTGTAGTGACGATATGCAGTAGTTCACTTTCAACCGCAGCTTGCTGGGAATAAATACGGGGAAAAAAAACTCCGGAGAGAGAATCGAACCCACAACCTGCCGCTAGTTGGGTTATCAGGCGGGACGGGGGAGTAACCGTAGTGAGCCCCCTCAATGTTCAATCCTAGTTTTGAGCCGCAACAAGGATCCACGTCGAATGGTTGCTAGAGGAAATTTTCGACATTATGTTCCGGGATTTAAGTATCCCCCGTGGAAGAGCGTGGAAATTACACGGCACACAAATTGCAGTGAACGATCGGACCGCTTGATTGACGAATTTCACACTTGCCCGAAATACTCACACCATGCCGCCTACATTTTCAACACCTTAAAGAACTCAACATGAACGCGAGTCCCCGTTCGATGCCTACATAATCACTATGTCAGCTCATATGTAGTGAATCAAGCCTCTCCGTACAGTGTGAAACAGGCAGAGGAGCAGCATCCTGAGGCAAGAGAAAGCAACCCCCTTTACCACGAGCCCTTCGCCTGGTAGTCACTAACGTGGACAGGGCCTTCGCCGTCTTCTGCGGCAGCGGAGCGCTCCATGATGCCATCGAGGCAAGCCGTGCGGATCCTGACAAAGGAAGACGATCGCAACGAGGCGAGGTATTGTAATGGAACACAGCAATATTGCTAACCCAGCGTAAGGAACCTGGACAATTCCCCACTCACAGGAAAGAAGACAATCACGTGCAACTGAAACAGTTGTAACGGAGAGAAAATCGATATACTGCGTACGCTATTGACAGGCCCACATCGTGGTCATGTGCTCGGCTGCAAGAGACTGCAGAGCGGCATTCTTACCCTGGGCCATGGATTCGGGGGCTTCGACCGCAACACTACACACATCAGGGCTACGAACCAAGACCCAAACGTCAAAAAACGCAATGGCCAATCAAAACAAAAACACCTTCTCTAATCAGGTCCCACCGACCTTTCAGAAGAGGCTGGGCTGTTGAGTCGGAAAAAGGATGCTTTGCCTTTATTGTGGTCCTTTCTCGCTGACGCCACAGCATCCTTGATGGCCAAGAACGCCGAGGATGCGAGGAAGAACGGGGGCTCCCCCACAGCCTAAGGGCAAAGAGATGGAAAAGCCTGAATGTTGTGGATTTGTGTCACCATAATGCTGTTGTGGTCCCCTCAGGGGCTTTTCACCCTCTACGCTCGACGAGGAAACCACACTATACACGAAGCCTGCAAACATGTAGTATCAGAAGCTACACTACGGGGCCGGTCATCATGTTCAAGCGGACCACGGTGTCTTGTATGTATAAATCATCATAAGGTGAGGCGAACGCCTCACTACATGCCTTCTCATCGACATATGAAGCCCCCGATTCATCATGACTGCCTCGGAAGGGCGCAACGCG